AATACATCTTCTGGACTCTCAATTTGCCTAACTTCGTAATGGCAGCTTCCAATTTATGACAATTTTTGATTCAGATGTTGTCTTCAAATTTGGTTCGGCCATAATTGACGTTTCAGTCCAATTCTTGAATTTCATGGTAATTTAATTCGCTGAAATTGAAGACCACCATCAATATTCTCAACAAAAAGTTTAGAAAATAATTTTGTATCCGTAACTTGAAGGACTGATTTGGAAGGCAACAATAATACAGAATCTACGTTCGATTCGTGTTTACAATTTGATGGATTATTTAAGTATTTTAGCAAGCCAACTAAATTTTTATTCCGTCCTTCAACAATTCTCAGTTGCACACACTGCAGCATTTTAACCGGAAAACAATCTTTTTTTTTATGCAAAACATCAAATCGATGGTTAAGAGCACAAAGGGAATACGTCCACTAACCATTGTTTTGAGAAATCTGAATTTGAAAGTTTGAAAACATACAATAATTCATGATATTTATTTATTGTCATGATTTTTAACCAAATGCATTCCTCAATTAATTCTGTCATGTTTTTTACTATTTTATTTTCATTTCTTTTACATACTTTAATACCTAATTTGTTTAATGTTTACCTAATGTTTAATGTTGGACATATTCCCTTTGTGCTCTTTACCATCGAAATATAAACACTAATACACCCTCTGTATCAAGTAGGGATGCGTTGCGTCGGCCAAGTTTTTCAATTCCCAATTTAATTGGTTGTAATGTCATTACTAACTTGTGTCTTCCTTTGGCCTTTTTTTCGGTACTTCAATTTTGACTTCCTTCTAAAGATTTTTTAAATGACGAAGAAGACCACTAGTTGAAAATCCTTTGCACATTATTGTTGTTTTACATATATTACAAGTGGCAGATTCTGTGTTTTTTTCTTTTGTAAAATTTTCCCATGCCTTAGTTCCACTTGATAATGCGCTATATTTGTTATCCTCTTAATTAAATTGATTAAAATATAAATATAAAACTATATTACCTACAATTAAATCCTAAAATAGTGTGGTGATAGTAGATTTACTTAAATTATTTAAAATTAGCTGTAATTACTAAACATATATTTTAAACTTCACTTATTTGGTTTTCACTTATTTCACTTTTTACATACAAACTACTTTCTTAACGTAACTAATTACTTTACTTACTAACTATTAACTTTTATGTGTAACTAAATACTTTTTTTGCACGTATAAATTGCATTGCAATTACTTTTTTTGCACTTGTAATTTGTCCGTGGTTATTTTATATTGGTTTGGTTTGTTTGTTCAAGTTTATATGCTGAAAGTTACATAAAAGTAAATCAAATCTATTTATAAATCAAATTTAATAGTAATGTTCTAAGATTATTATTGAATAATAATTATTCAATAATAATCTATCTTAGACACAAACCAAAACTGCAAGATATTGGCGATTTAATTGCCCTCTATAAGATATCTTTAAATTAATTTAATTAAAGATCTCTTATAGAGATTCCTAATTTTTAAAGAAATTCATTATTAAAGGGAAAAGGAAGTAATTAGTACTCAAATTTTGAGTAATAATATTTTTAATATCTTTACAAATGTAAAGATATTAAAAAAGTTATTACTTCAAAATTTGAGTAAAAATATGATCAAAAGTGGTTAGGAAACTGCCGTTTTATACTTTGTTGGAAGCTATTATTTAGATTATCAACCATATCACACAAATTTTGAGATAAAGTAGTAGATAAATTGTATTGCCCTTGAGTAAAAACATAGCAAAAATTGATAAAGCCATATCCAGAAGCTGTCTAAAATGAACTTCCATTCTCAACTATAAATCTAACCATGGTTGGATTTATAGTTGATCATACTTTTTTTTAAATAACTGTATCTATTCGAGGTCCAATAAAATGTAAGTTTTATGAAGAGCCTGACGATTTTTTGATTATGTTATTGGAGTTCTCTTTTTTTTATATAGCAAATAAGTGCTTTTTAGATGCTTCATCGTGTAGCTTTTTATGGTCACGTTTTAAATGGTTCCATAGATCAGATAAAGTTTCAGTTTTCTGAACAGAATACTTTTTAGTGTAATTTTTTTGTTTTTATTACCCGAATGTTTCTTTTTTTTCAAAGAATTCTTAAATTACCGATTTTTCGAAGTCATTTTTTAGCTTGAAGTAAAATAATTAACAGTTTTTTTATTTCCAGTTTGCAACACTCAAAAATATTCAAATTAAAATTACTTCAGTAAAGGCGAAGTAAAAGTGCCAAAGCAAAATTATAAATGTTTAACTAAACAGTTTTAGGCGTTTGCGCTCAGCTCTGCTTATATCCATAATCCGCAATTAATTTTATTAAATTACATTACAAAATTTCTCTACCGCTGAATTTTCCGATACTCAGCGTTGTTAAGGGATCGTCCATAAATTACGCAACGCAAAAAATATTTTAAGAACAGGAGTAGGCTCTTCAACGCGGCGATTTTCATTTAACTTAATTTCCTATTTTGATTGTTTATTTAAATTAAGACTCTGCGAGGGAAAACTTTTGATCTTTTTTTGTTTTGTTTTTTGTGAAACTTTGCGTTATGTAATTTATGGACGATCCCTAAGGAGAGATCCGAAGAAAAAATATAGTGTTTAAGCTCTTTCGTTTTCAAAAAGTGCCGTTTTATTCTGTCTGCGTTTTGATTAGTTTATTTTTTAAAAAATCACGAAGCTCGTTTTATTATGTTTACAAATATTCGGTGTTTTTATTTTATCTACATTTGAAGTTTTAGCTTAATACTATGGGGCAGAAGTTATTTAAGCTGAAACGTTTCTGTTTAGTAATTTATTCAAACGAATATAAAGAGTTATGGAAGTAAATTGTGACGAGTGAAAACTAATGTGAAATACTGGTTACGGAAAGATATAATAAGAGGTTTTTAGTAATTGAATATTTTAATGCTGAATATTTTAAAGTCTTTTTAATTTCGAATAAAAGAGACATTTTTGGAATGTAAATACTTAACACATTTGTTTCAGCTGTTTTTATCACGCTACCCCGTCGCGTTTTATGTATTTTAGCGGTAGTTTTGTTTTGCTTGATGCTTTGGTTAAAAAAGAATTATAAAAAAAATAATATATTATATAAGAAAAGCTTAAATTCTACTTTTTAAAAGTATATAACAGTAATAGTTGAAAATAAGCGTAAAGCAAAAAAATTTAAGTTTAAAAATGTAAACTTTTATATTTAAGAAATTAAAATCATTCGGATCTTTCCAAAACTATGCTGAGTATGTGTTAATATTTTAATAACTTTTTAACGCCGTTCGTGCGAAAACAAACAACAATAAAACACAATAAAGTAATTCAAAAACTTGAATCATTTCTTTCGAATCAAATTTCGAATCAAAGCAGCAATCGATTCGCCCTACTTTGACCATAATCTTTTTTTTTTTCGTTATTTAGTTTCTTTATATCGTTTCTTTAAATATTTTGTTGTTGCTGTTTTGTTTATGTACATTGTGAAGCCGAGGTGCAGTGGTTCTTGCTCAGAACCAACAAGTCCCAGGTTCGACGCCGTCTCGCCCAATATACGACAAGTAAACTTCCTAGTTAAATGCTCTTCTGCACTGTGACATAAGAACTTTCTGCTATGCACTGTGACGAGACCGTAAGAACTTTTGGAAGCACCTTAATAATCACAACAACAGCAACAAAATATCAGATAGACGACATTCAACAGAAAAAAAAAATCAACTGATAATTTGGCATGAAATTTTATCGTCATTGCATTCGCAACAAGTTTTTTCTTGTTTATCAAAATAAAACCAACTGCAATACCGATTGCTTATATGTTATTAAATAGGTTTTTAATGTTGATTTTATATGCGTTCCAGTTGTACATTTTTTTAATGTCATTAGGGAACGTCCATAAATAAGGATTCACAATAAATAAAACAAAAAAGGTCAAAAGACTTCCCTCGCAGAGTCTAAATTAAAAAAAAAAATCAATATAGCCAATTAAGTTTAATGAAAATCGTCGCGTAAAAGAGCTTAATACTTTTGTTTTATAAAAACATTAATTTATGGACGATCCCTTATCTCAATTTGTTGTAGTTGGTTACTTTCTATTAAATGTCGTCCAGATGTAATCTATTATTATTATTATATTATATTACAAATTCTAAATAATGGTCGGATATAAATAGTGTATAGGAAACGCCAAAGAGTTAAACCACGACTTCTGAATCTTTTTTTAAATTTTTCTAGCAATCTATTTCCAGCTGCAGCTGCGTGCTCAGCTTGAAACTTTACTTTAAGATGATTGGATACTATAACCCCTAAATCGCATTCTTACACTGCGGTTTCAAGTTGTTTGCGATGACCGTTTTGTGATTCCATTGTATATATATATTGTGGAAATTAACTTTTTCTAACTCGACTTCTGCACACAAGTGTGGAGTTATTTGCACAAAACTGTGCAAAATATCTTCACACTTGTGTCTAGGAGTGATATCTACACACCGGTGTGGAAGGAAACTCCACACTTTCCGCGAGTGTGTAGGACTTTGTGTACAGTAGAAGGTATTGTCTACAGGAATAACGATCCAATATCAAATTTGCAGTTTCATATACAAGTTTCATTGCAGAATGAGTTTTTTACAATACACCTTATTACAATTTTAACATCAATTCCTGTTATATCAGAGAATAACTCAGCAATTTTAAAAGCCCTTCTTGAAATGTTTCCATCGTTTGTGTACCTAAACTAAATTTGGGAATATCAACAGCTAGGCTAAGTTACTTCTCTGTAACATACATATTTTTATATATAAAACATTAACTATATAAATACTTAAACTTCAAAAATAACTTGTTTACAAATATAAAGATGTTAAAGGAACCAAAAAATATTATAAACTTTTTTTAATTCTCAAAGAGGAATTTCAACTTGTCAAAATTGTTTTAATAGTAGTTTTATATTGTATGGGAAGATTTGTAATAACATGCAGTTCAGTGCAACTTTCATATTATTTTCAACTTACGACAGTTTTTGCAACAACATACAGCTTTATGAAACTTTCGTATTATTTGAAACACAATTAATTTGAATAGTTTGAAAATATATACATTTTAAAATAAATAATCAATTATGTGTTCCCAAGCTTCGACCCAATTTCTCTCATCAACAAGAGGTAATGTACCAGCAGTAACTTTAATAATCCCTAACATTATAAGAGCTCCTAATCCAACCAACAGCAGAAAAAAAGCCAAAACCAAATTGCCCTAAAAAAACGCTACTAATTATGATAAAGAAAATTAACATAAAATTAAATGTAAATAAGAAATAAATCTGTGTTACTGGTCATAAAGTATGATTGAAATCAAGACAAACGAGTGCGTCAAGGTTATCAACTATAAAAAAAAAAGAAAAAATTGGCGCACCATTTTGCCAAGTAAAATCGATTCGTCGGAAAATTCATCATCTATGTCACTTCTAACGTGCGCTTTTTCAGCACATACCACATCATGGAAATCGTTTGTGTTGGTAACCTGAATGAACAATAAAAATCCTTAAATGGCGAGAAAAAAGCACAATACAGATGTACAGTTATAATATGCAACAAGGTACAGTGATACAACAAATGTTGTGTTAATGAATTAAAGTAAAATGAATACGAAAAGGTACAATCGGACCCTTGCATAAAAATCCGTATATGAAAGTGTCGTACATTCTCACTATTATATAAAAAACCAGAAGAGAATATTGCATAATCTCACCTTTGCATAAAAATGCAGAAGGGAAAGTATTGTGCAATCGCACCCTTGCATGGAAATACACAAGGGAAAGTATTGTACAATCGTACCCTTGCATAAAAATGCATAAATGAAAGTATTGTACTATCACTTTTATCATTAGAGTTTTAAATTGTATTTAGTTAATAAAAAAAAAACAACATTGTATAGAAAAAAAAATTGTATTTAGTTAATAAAAAAAATATAAATTATACAAAAAGATTATAAAAGTATAAAAAGCATAATTACATACAATTGTGTACTAAAACTATTCTAAAACTATGTACTATAAAAATTTAAATTAAAATAATAAATTACGTGTGTGTGTCTGTGTCTGTGTTTGTATGTATTTATGTATGTATGTATGTATGTATGTATGTATGTATGTATGTATGTATGTATGTATGTATGTATGTATGTATGTATGTATGTATGTATGTATGTATGTATATGTGACATATGTATATATATATATATATATATATATATATATATATATATATATATATATATATATATATATATATATATATATATATATATATATAATTCATAGAAAATAATTCATAGACCTATTAAATTAACGTTAAAATAAAAATTTAGTGATAATTAAAACAAAAATATTAAAAAATTAGTCGCCAAAAAGCTACCATATTTTATGAGATAACTAAATAACTTATTGTTAGAAATGGATTCTCGTAAGAAAATCTCGTTAAAAATAAAATAATAAAGCTACAACAATAAAATATAACAGAAATAAGTTAAAGATCTTGTAGTCACGCCACTTTTCAATTGTAAACATTTGTCTATTAAAGAAAGCCCCAAGCGACTTTGCAATGGTGTTTGGTCACAACAGCCTATTAAAGAAAACCCTGAGACTTTATGAAAAGCAAATATTAAAAAATTTGGACACAGATAGAGACTATCATTAATATTTTTAATTGATTTTTACATACTTAAAAATGAATATGGAAAATATGTATGCATGTTTTGAATGTTGACGTCAGCGTTAGAACGGCTTCTTTGACGCAAGAATGCAAAATGCTTATGTACATAAATTTGATTTTTATTTTGTTTTTTTAATTTTTTTTTAATTTTGCTTATTCAAATTTTGTATCTCTTTTTCAAGTTTTTAAAGTTTTAATGTTATGAAAAATTTACGCATTCGGGAGGGGGTTGATTATGTAATAAATAAAAGTAGTTCAGTAGTTGCAGTAGCTTTATCATTATTGTTATAACTATTCTTTAAATTGTTTATTTTATAATTATTAACTATACTATAATTATCTTACTATTGCTTTATCATTTATAATTCTTTTTACGTTGTTATATTGCAGTTATTATTTTTTATATTATTTTTATTTATATTATTGTTACTACTATTATTTTTATAAATATTATTACTTTTAACTTTCTTTTCCTCTTTTTTTTTTTTTTTTTTTTTTTAAATCTTCTTTATTGTTATTGTTGGTTAACTTTCTTTCCTTTTTTCTTTTTTTTAGGTGTCACTCTATTAACTAGTTTTCAACAATATGAGTGACACCTAACCTTATTTATGTAAATTTATAATTTATCATTGTAAACTTGCATTATTTATGGTTAAAAAAAAACGTACGCAGGAAAGGGGTAGGGAGGTGGGTTGTCTAAACCAGTGGTTTTACTGCGTATGCACTGATAGTATAGGATGCCCCATGAATTTTTTAAATAAGAAAAAGTAAAAATAAATTATACTCATATTTAATAACAATAATAATAATGTTGATGATGATAATGATAGTAATAATTAATGCAGTTGAGATAGAGCGCCAGGCAATATCTATGACAGCTGGTAAATATTTAACGAATAAGTTACTTCAGCTTCTAAATAGTTAAGTGCTAATAATAAACTTTCTTGATTTTCCTCTTGTATGTTATTGCTTTTAAGTCGACCGTTTGCAAGATTTGAGGATGATAAGTGTTTAGGATTGAACAACTTCTGCTGGTAAACTATTCCATCCAATAAAACAAAAGGCAAACAAGTTAAAAAAGACAAAAAAAAAATGCATTTTTATATCTCTATCTACAATCACTGTAGATACTGTAGATACCAAGTATTTCCAGGTTTGTTATGGAATGTTCACTTATAGATTCATGTGCACACAATTAACTTTTGGTAGAACCAAATTTATATTTATCAGAACAAAAAGTTTTCAAGATAAATATCCTATAAAAAGCTAAAAAAAAAAAAAAAAAAAAACTCCGGCTTCTGTTGCTTAAGTCATATCTCAATTAAACTTGTCTACAGCTTGTGGTTCAGACAACATTCCTGTCACAGTCTTGCAGAATTGTTCTCCAGAACTTTCTTCAATTCTCTCTAAACTATTTAACAAGTGTTTGACCGAGTCTTGTTTTCCTGCTTGTTGGAAAATGGCATCTGTGGTTCCAATATTCAAAAACTCTGCAGAAAATTCTGACCCCTCCAATTATCGTCCGATCAGTCTTCTTTCTGTTATTAGCAAGGTCTTTGAGTCTTTGATCAACAAATTCCTCACATCTCATCTTGAGTCAAATATACTACTGTCAGACAATCAATACGGTTTTCGATCCTCTCGCTTTACGGCTGACTTGCTAACTGCTGTAACTGAAAGATTTTATCGGGCAAAGTAAAAAATGGACAAAAGTAAAAAAAATTCTCAAAAATTATATTATATACCATTTTATAGCTTAAACATTTAGCTTTTATAAAATGTATATATTTTTGTATAATTATCATGACGTATCATTTTGTATAATTATCATGACGTATACTTCTAAGCTGTAGAATAAAAAGCTTTTTTTTTTTAAAAAAAAAAAAAAAAATTCGAATTTTTATTTGAAAATATTTTTTGTGTTACTAATAAGCATAAATTATTTGTTAATTTTAAAAACTCACTTTTAATTGCAAAATTTAATAAAATTAAGTATTGTCTTTCAAATGAGCTATTGTAACATTTTTTTTCACATAAGTTATGTCAAATAAAATAATTTCAGATGACAGCGTATTTGAAGAACTTTTTTCAGTTAAAATTTCACTTATATAATCGAATACTTTCACGGTCCAAGGTGGTCCAGTAATTTGAGACTTATTTTGTTCAATATTTATATAATTAACATAAACTTGGTTTATAATCAATATAAACTTGGTTTATAATCTGCGGATGTCCACCTGGTCGATATACCACCTGGTCGATAATAATGATTTTTACAAGTTAACTGATGTATCGGATTTTACGCAGCAAAAACTTTTTGTTTTAAATGTGGATTAAAAACTTGTTTTAATAATAATACATCTTAAAATATCTATTTATAAGACTTTGTAAGTGTAATTCATGTTTTTAAATATTTAAAACATGAAAAATATAGACATTTATTCATATATAATATAAGAAAACTTGAAGATAGCTAATCCTAATACTTTGGATGCAGTTGTAAATGGCACAAACTTAACTGCAAATAATAAATAGTCTAATTTCATAAAGCATCTTTGACAAAGGTGGAATATATGCAAAAGCTCTAAAATTCGTATCAAAAAGAATAACAATGGCTACAAAATGTTACAAGAATATTCTTATTATCAATTTGTAATTGATAATAAGAATATTTTGTAACTGTCTCCATTGATAAAGAAAACTCTACTCTTCTTCAACTGTAGTGTCTGGCAGAACCCAAGTGAACTATGATACTTCAAGTAGTAAAACAAAGTAAAGAGGATTGGCGCCATTAGTTGCATCTTTTTCATTTTCTGAACTATTGTTTGCATCGGATTATAGTTTGCCCCAAGAAAAAGAAGCTAAGAGCCGAAAAAGAGCAGAAGAAATGCATTAAAACACCTAAAATTAGTAATTGGATTTGTGTTTATTAGTGTTGTTTATAACTTAGATGTTTTGAGAAATTTATACTAGTAACTATGCAAAATGAACTGTAGCCAGGTATTTCACGATCAACCAAATAAAAAAAATACTTAATACTACTGAATTTGTAATACAATAACACTGTATGTGGTATGTGTGGTATGTAGTAATTATGGGAGTAATTCGATAAAGTTATTACTTTTGTCCAGTTTATCTTTATTATGATTAATAAAATATGTGGTTGCTAAGCAATTTAGGTTTCCATAGCAAATTAAAACTAAAACTAATGTCACCATTGAAATCACAATGCTCAAATTAGTAAACAGTGCAATCATGGTTCTTAAATCTTTTTTATATGAGGAGCTATTAGTTCTGTCCAGTAAAAGTGAATTCTGGCCCACTGCTCATCAGGTTCTGCAACTAACATTAGAGGAGCAAAACATTGAATGAAACCTGAATTGGTCAGAAATTGTTTGAAAAGGCAATATTTTTTCAGCAATAGAGTTGTTGATGGATGGAATAGTCTACCAGCCGAAGTTGTTCAATCTACTACAGTTAAAAGCTTCAAATTAAACTTGCAATGGGTCGACTTAGAAGCAATAACATACAAGATAAAAACCAAGAAAGCTTATTATTAACATTTTTATTATTTAATGACTGAACTTGTTCATTAATTAATTTATACCGGCTGTCATAGATATTGCCTGGCGCTTTATCTCAACAGCATTAATTATTATTATTATTACTGAGCATTGGCTGTAAACATGGTAAAATAAATAAAAACAATGTTTAGTCATTAAAAGTAGATTTATTTGCATACTTAAGAGTAAATTTATATGCGGTAGTGATGTAGTGGTAGAGCGCTCGCTTCATAAACAAGTGGTTCCGAATTCGATCCCCACCACGTCCCTGGTAGTACTGCACTTAACTTGTTTCTCCGCGCAGCGACCTTGTTCGTCAAGGTTTGTGTTTCGGAGTTATAGAGTTGAGAGAGGGTTATAACCACAAATAAGTAGCCTCCTCATCTGTAGTGGCCTTCTCGGCCTTGAGGAGGTGAATTAAAATTAAAAAAAAATGGTTTCATTTGTGAATTTTAGTATTGATCTTTTTCTTTTAAGTATAATAGTGAAAAAATTAAAAAAAAGAAAGTATAAAACTAATTTTGAACAGTGTAACTGATTAGCTAGATTTTTAAATTTTTTCTTTATTTATATTTACCCTAAATTAAAAAAAAAAATTTTAACTGAAAAAATTTAAAAACTACTGCATTAAATAGTAATGATTGAAGGATAATTAGTTAACGGAATGGTTTTCTAATGCTGTTGTTGTATTATTGCCATGCCACTTCTAATTTTGGAGCAATATTAAAAAGTCTGCGTTGAATCAAAAGTTATTTTTAAAAATCAAGTTGTATAATTAAAAAGCAAACAGACAGATTATCAAATTTTATTCAATAATTTTATATATTTTTTAAAAACCAACTTTATAGGGGAAAATGTATTAATAAAATAAATTTAAAATAATCAAAAAATATCTAAAACAATAAAAAAATAAAATGCAAAAATTATTCACAAATAAGATATAAAAGTGTTAAAAACATATCTACACGTGTTTACAATAACTTATTTTAATTATTAAACAATAATAATAATAAATAAATAAAAAACAAAAACAAACAATTATATGGAAAATATCAATCACAACTCAATAAAATATTTGTGGAAGATCTTAACAATGTTTTATATATTTATAACAAGAGTCACTTACATTTTTATAGCTTTCAGTTGGAGGAGTTCTTTTCTGCATTTTTGTTAAACTCTATGACATTTAAATAAATTATAAAATATTTGCTTTAAAATTTTTTCTAAAATATATGCTTATGAAATTATTACCCAAAATGGAAATATTAAAACTTAAGTTTAAGTAGGTCAATTATGTAGTTACCTGAATATTCATGACTTTAGAGGCTTGTTGATTAGATTCTAAAAGTTGCTTTTTTATAAAACTATCTTGCTTTAATCTATAAAACAAACGAATTATTAAGATTATTATTTAATAACATGAACAATAATAAAAAAATTATTAACATCATTAAAAATGTAATTACTAATATTAACATGATCAGAAACACAATAATACTAACATCATCAGAAACACAATTAATTAACAGTATAACATCAGTCATTAGTTAACAACATTAGTAACAATAACAATTTGCACTTACAAGTTACAATCATTTTCTAAAATATTTATCTTTTCGTACAATGATTCATTTTCCTTTTGTAAGTTGCTTGAATTAACTTGATAAAAAAAAAAGGTTTTTATATATTTCATATTATGGATGTATACAACATCCATAGTATAAAATATTGTGGATTTTGTAATCTGAATATAATATATAAGATAGAGTACTCCTTACATTTAGTGTGTGTGTGTGTGTGTTTGTGTGTGTGTGTCTATTAACTATATATATATATATATATATATATATATATATATATATATATATATATATATATATATATATATATATATATATATATATATATATATATATATATATATATATATAAAAATTTCTGATGAGTCTTTATTGATGAAACACAGTGTTGAATGAAAAAGTTTTTTGCTAAGTGATTTTCTACTACTTTATAAGTGCTCTATTCTTTTAAGAACATTGAGAACTCTATTTTGTAGAATACATTTTAAAATTGTTTATATATATATATATATATATATATATATATATATATATATATATATATATATATATATATATATATATATATATATATATATATATATATATATATATATATATATATATATATATATATATACATTACATATTGTTAAAGTGACATCATTAAAAATATATTTCATATTTAAATGATAAAAAATTACATCTTGTGCAGTTATATATTACTTTTATTATTTTATAGTTATATTTTGGCTAATATAGTATAAGCCATTGTCAAACTGAAAAAACATTATACAAACTCACAAAATTAAAACAAAAATTATGTCATTACAACGTAACAGATTAAGACTTGTTCAGTTTTAACAGATTAAGACTTGTTCAACAAAAAGTGATTTCCAATCGCATGTCATCACTAAATTACCATTGTCACAATTTAAGACTTTCTCCTGCAATCTTCAGCATTGCAAATGCTGTATCTTAATTGCTTTGCAAAACAGAAATTTTTAGTTTAGTCCAGTTATTGTATCACTACAATGTTGCGCGTGTTCTATATACCTGATGCATTTCAATTGTCTTTATTTGTGAAAGTCTGATAATTGGTTTTTTATTTATATATTTTTTAAACCAATGATGACACTTCACTTTCATTTTACAGTTTTTTTGTATGGAAATGAATGAAATGGTTGGTTTTTTTGTATGGAAATTTGTATGGTTGGTTTTGGAAATGAATGGTTTTTTTTGAAAATTTCAGTTAAGTATTATAAAGTTTTAATAATAATATGGAAATTAGTGTTAAAACTTTATAATACTTAACTGAAATTTTCAAACTGTTTTGAATTTAGTTTGTCTACTAAAACCAAAAACAAATAATTCCAAAAGAAATTTTTATTTTGCTCACTATCGTAGATTAATAATATTAATGCATGATGAAATTAACTTCCAAAAGAAATTCAAAATTTGTTTTTTTAGTAAGAAAAATATCATTATTAAAAAAGCATTGTCCGTGTTTTTAAAAATTGCTTTACTTTTATGTGTGCATGTGAGAACTTTTTGTTGATCCTTTCTGGTCCTCATATTTGGTAATAGATGTTAGATTCATTCTCACCTTTGATAGATTTATTCTCATTAATTCTGCTCCTCATCTTTGGTTTTTGCCTTGAATTAGTATAACACATAGTTTTGCTTTATTATTGACAGGTTTCAGCGATTTAACATTTTTAGCTCAAAATTGTGATTTTTTAGATAAAATATGTTTTTAATCATGAAAATGAATTTAGAAATGTTGCTTGTGGTCCAACAAATCAAACAAGTACTCAGCTACAGAAAAATTGTGGCAAGCATGATATAAATTTTTATTATTTTCTTAATATCATTTTAGCAACTTTAGCTTTATCAAAAACCTTATCATTATTAAAAACCTGAAAAAATACTCATAAAGGAATCCTCTGTAAATATTAAAGATGCATTAGTAAAAAATTAAAGTTTTTAAGGGCAGCAAAAGCAACATCATTGACAAATTTTTAATGAACAAATATTTCTTTGTAGAATTCCAAGCCATTAAATGATGATGCATCAATTGTTTTAGTACACATAAGCTACATTTTCATACAAAATAGCAAAGTAAACTTCCTGAACAGTCAACAAAATGCAAACATTTTTGTTAAGTTCAAAAATTAATTTCTCCTAGTCGAATCAAGAATCTTGGACACACAATAGTTTTCATTTATGAGCAATTGGTTTTCTTGTAACAAAATAGCCAAGTGTTCTATGCTATCCATCTACCTAAAATACCAGCATCAAGTATGTTATTATCAACCTAAAATAGCAGCTTTAAGTATGTTATCATCTGTTGGATAGGTACAAACTATCAATCATTAGGAAAACTTAAGAGTATTCTAATTTCAGCAATACTTTCAGCAATGTTGTCCTTTACAGTGAGGTTTTCTTTGAGGTAATAAAAAAGGAGGTTCGTAGCCAATCTTAATGAAGAGAAATAGTTGGTGGCCATGCTAACAAACCAAACTCATTTTATTTTAAAAACAACAACATTTGTTTCAAAGCCTCAATGTGACTGATAAATTTAATAAACAAAAGATTATTCATTATTCACGGTAACTAACTAATAGTAATTATGTACATATACAAAATAGCAAAGTAATATTATGTAATATGTGCATAAAGCAGCTAGATGCATAAAGATGCAAATTATTAAACATTTAGGCTTTTATTCTATAGTTAAAATAAAAATTCAAAAACACTAAATGTTTAAAAAAATTTCAATTTTTTAATATTGAAATTTTTTCAAACATTTAGTGTGTATATATATATATATAGTTATTTTGTAGTTGACTATCAAAAGTCATAATAAAATACTTTTCATTGATGCAAAGGTTACACTTTTTTGTAGATGGGTTAAAAGATTGGCATCTTTTAATTATGTTCCACTTAATTATAGGCATGTTACCCCCGCGTCTTTAAGTTTCCAGATTTCCTTGGAAAGTTCCGTATCATTCCTATACCTGGTTGCATTAAATGATTTAAGATGGTTTGCAAATCTGAGCTTGAATGTGTTTTCACTATTTCCGATGTAGGATTTTTCAGTAAGACTGGTATTAGGTGATTCTAAAGTGGCTTTATATACAACATTTTTTGATAGACATTGATTATTTAACAGGCGTGTGATTTTATTAATGCAGTTGCAGTTTATATCATTATCGGTAAGTTTGTTGTGCAAAATTTGTTGGTTGTTTGAATTAATTATTGATTAAATATTTGGCATGCAGCTGTAACTAATTTTTATTGTGTTTCTGTTGAGTATTTTGTGGAGCTTATGATGTAATGGAAAATACAATTCAATTAAGTTTAAGAAAAGATGTCCAATTTTTGTTATTATATTTTTACTGTAAGGAGGGTTAAACCATATAATATTTCTTTTTCGTTTATTAGTAATAGAAGAATTTAGATTTGAATGATATTGGAGAATGGTGTGAAATCCAGACTTTTCTAATGCGTCATTATAAATTGGAGCAGTCTTTTGGAATATTTTTTCGCTTGAAGAATTGGAAGATAACCTATGTCCTATTGAGATTGGTGATTGTTTTAAAATGCTTGGTGGATAGTTGGAATTAGCATGGATATAATTTAATGTACTATCAGGTTTATGGTAAGGTTGAAAAGTGTTGTTATTAAGATTAAATGTAACATCAAGGTAATTAACAATTTTCATATTAGATCGAATGGAAATACTGAGGTTATTTTGTTTAAATATTTGAGTAAAATGCTTCTTAATTTTTTCCATTTTTGGACCGCTTGCGTTTTTAAATACGGCTAAGCCATCGTCTCTATATAATCCAAAATCAGTTTTATTATAAAATTGTGAAATCTGGAAAAGAAGAAAAATACCAACTAATTCACACACCTCCACTCCATTAAATGCACCCATGGTAACATCAAACAAACCACCTGATTTTTTAATCCAAACTTGGTCATTGGTAAATAATAAAGATTTACGCGCGTGGAGAATTAAAGATTTAGGATCAGCATCAATGGAAACGTATTGTTCTTCAAATTTTATGGAATCCATAAGTAGCTTTTCATTAATAGAAGGGTAAAAGTCAACGATGTCGAAAATAAGGAATTTATAAAAATGTTTGTCATTGATATTTTTGAACCAATTTATTACATTTTGTGTACTATTCCACTGATTTAATTGCAAAATATTTCTAAGGTCGGTATTAATACCTGATAAAATATGCTTACTTATTCTACCAACCTCATTTTTAGCTGGGTTAATTAGATGAACAGTAAGATTATTTAAAAAATTAGGTTTATGATCTTTTAATGTAATAAAACAATTGGAAGAACTGTTTATATTGATTTTGTTAAAAACTTCATGATTTTTAAGAATAGTTTTTCCTTCTTTATTAATGCGATCTTTTATTATAGGGTTGGTTTTTTTATAATTAGATGTAGTGGCGTTCATTAATAACTTATTGTATTTGTCTTTTGATAATTTATATAAGTTTAAAATATATATATATATATATATATATATATATATATATATATATATATATATATATATATATATATATATATATATCGATTGATGTTAAATTTGTATTACAATAGTAGGGTTAAACCATATAATATTGTATTAAAATATTATATGGTTTAACCCTCCTTACAGTAAAAATATAATAACAAAAATTGGACATCTTTTCTTAAACTTAATTGAATTGTATTTTCCATTACATCATAAGCTCCACAAAATACTCAACAGAAACACAATAAAAATTAGTTACAGCTGCATGCCAAATATTTAATCAATAATTAATTCAAACAACCAACAAATTTTGCACAACAAACTTACCGATAATGATATAAACTGCAACTGCATTAATAAAATCACACGCCTGTTAAATAATCAATGTCTATCAAAAAATGTTGTATATAAAGCCACTTTAGAATCACCTAATACCAGTCTTACTGAAAAATCCTACATCGGAAATAGTGAAAACACATTCAAGCTCAGATTTGCAAACCATCTTAAATCATTTAATGCAACCAGGTATAGGAATGATACGGAACTTTCCAAGGAAATCTGGAAACTTAAAGACGCGGGGGTAACATGCCTATAATTAAGTGGAACATAATTAAAAGATGCCAATCTTTTAACCCATCTACAAAAAAGTGTAACCTTTGCATCAATGAAAAGTATTTTATTATGACTTTTGATAGTCAACTACTACTTAACAAAAAAAGTGAATTGGTTTCTGCTTGTAGACATAGGAAAAAATTTTTACTATCTAACTTTGATTCCGGCGATTAGCAAATATCGAATCACGTATAATTGACATCAGATGCCGTTGCAACGCTAAATTTGTATTTTTATAACGGTTTTTATTTTTTATTTGAATAATATGGCTGATGATTGCCATATTATATGAAACTTTTAGTTCCATCATAAAGTTGTATTTTTTTCAGTTAAATTATTTTAATATAATTTGATCTATTTTTTTTTTTAAAAAGATATTGATCACTGTTAAACAGACAAGAGTTGTATTTCCAGCAGTATACAACATTTATCAATAAATATATATATATATATATATATATATATATATATATATATATATATATATATATATATATATATATATATATACACAAATAGTATTGCGTACTAAGGTAAGCAATCTGACGTCATACTGAAATAGCCTGCTGCTGTGGGCTTCAGTACATACATCGACTGACAAATAGCCTGATATATATATGTGGGCAATTCCACGAGAATGGCGGTCGTAACATTTGACACTCTTAAAGTTATTAAAAAATGAACCAAAAACGAAAATGACTTGAAACTTTTTCAGAAATGTGAAATACTATCATATAATTTAGTATGTAAAAGTTGCAGCATTAAAGTCTTCAACTTTTTTCAAAAAATAACTCTAAGTAGCGTGACGGTCGTAACGCTTACTTTTTACCACTTCTGAACAAAACAACTTTGTCAGACTTAATGCAGCGAATGGCATGGTAAAAAAAAAAAATCCTTTGGTGTGTGTATTTAGCACATATTGATGTTATTATATGCTTTTTCATAGCTTTTATAGCTTTCAATTGAAGTTTTACAAACTCTTTTGTGTTTTTTTTTTGTCGTGACGGTTGTAACCGTGACGGTTGTAATGAAAAACCTAATGCTTAAAAACAACAAATATAATGACACAATAAATGATGTAAGAAAAAAAGTATAAATAATTATTAACAACCATATATAATATGTGTAAAAAATGCAATAAAGCATTATCAAAATGTCAATTATGGGTATACGGTAAGATTTTTAACACTACACAACAGGACTGTTAATAAGCGTCAAAACACGTTAAAACTTTTTTGCTTAAAAGTATTTTTAAATAGTTGAAAAAAAACAGTTTTAGAGTTTAATATGTGTTTTCATAACTTTTTTTCTTTTTTTTTTCTTCTTTGTCGCGGAATTGTTCATATATATATATATATATATATATATATATATATATATATATATATATATATATATATATATATATATATATATATATATATATAAAAGATATATGCAAGCACTAATACATATTCATATATATATATATATATATATATATATATATATAAAAAAGATATATGCAAGCACTAATACATATTCATATATATATATATATATATATATATATATATATATATATATATATATATATATATATATATATATATATAAATATATATATATATAAATATATATATATATATATATATATATATATAAATATATATATATATATATATATATATATATATATATATATATATATATAAAAGATATATGCAAGCACTAATACATATTCATATATATATATATATATATATATATATATATATATATATATATATATATATATATATATATATATATATATATATATATATATATATATAAAAGATATATGCAAGCACTAATACATATTCATATATATATATATATATATATATATATATATATATATATATATATATTATGTTTAATATTTTATCTGATATTTCATATTTAATAAAACTATAAAAAACTTACTTTCAAGTAATAAAGCATGTTCTTCATTACGTTTATTTTTAGCTTGTTCTACCAACAATTTATCTTGTAACAATTTTATATTATTGTGCAACTCTTCTGCCTCAGTATGATTAGCAATTGGATCACCTTTAAAAAAAACAACACTTTCTAATAAAAAATAATTATTTTTAATAATTACAAATCATTGTTATTTTTATTCTTAAGATTAAACATATATGTTTTGTTTTCTTCTTTTAATAAAACAATAATACCCTCAAAAAATAATAAATTAAATAAAAAAATTTCCAATAATTTTAAGACCAATGTAATTAAAACATCTGCTTTATGTTTTAATTACATTTAAAAAATTTTGTTTATAAAAAATTTTAAAACACTTTTTTTTAAAAAAGTAAATCACTTTTGAAGCAACAAAAATAAAAATAAAATTGTTTGCAAGAATTATTAAGTGAACAACCTGTTTCTTACCTGAAGTGTTTTATTTTTAGAAATTTATTTATACAACACGAAAAAGAGTTAAAAAAAAACTTAATCATACTATTAATCCTAAAAAAAAAAAAATTTAAATATGATTTATGATAATAATGAAAATGGTTTTTAAATGTTTATAATAATGCAAATTGCAAGTAAGTGAAAAAATTATCTAAACAAATTTTGAAACTCTGATTACAGTATCAATTAATTATCATTATCATAATTCAGTATCATTCAATAATAGTGCAGTAGTATATCTGGTATATCTGAGTGGTAGTCTCAGATAAAAAATCTTTCTGAAAACAAACATTTAATAAATAACTTTTAAGCATTTATTACATGTTTAAATATTAGTTTTATATTTTATATTATATTATACAATACTATTTAAGATCTTATTTATGCTAGTATGCATATGATAAACTCTACAAAAAAAAGTTTTTTAACTGCTGGTAATCCTTAGATTACCAACAGTAACCTGTTGGTAATCTTGGGATTACCAACAGGTTACTTGATCATTTAAACAACCCTTTTTGATTATATATGCTTGATTTGAAGGCCTATAAACATATAAGCGCTATGTTTCATAACAACATTTAACATAGAGTCAACTAAGTAGCATTACATTGCAAAAGATCAACATTGATAAATTGCATAAAAATGTAATGATAGCTTTCAATTGAAGGTCAAATGTTTAGAAGAATGTAAAAAAACCAATGAATAATTTTTATTGCCTGACGGTTAATTGTTAAAATATATAAGTATTAAAAAATATTTTTAAAATGTTAAGTAAGTGAACAATACATAATTCAGGAATTATAAATACTTTATTGATATAATTAATATAACAAGTTTTATTTAAAACAAAATTTGCCCAATAACTTGTAAATCTGGAAATTCTTTAAATGTTTCACTTTTTTTGGAAAACGCATGTGGAAAGAGCATGTTAGTATTTTAAATAAAACAAGAAAGATTATACATAATAATTTAATTAGTAAATTTGTTCATACAAAACATTTTAAAATGTACTTGCGTTCATACTAAACATTTAAAAGCATTAATTAGACTTCTTTTTTCTTTTTTTTTGTCATTTAAAATAATTTTCTCAATTTGAAATCACTGCTTTTTCAATAACTTTTTATGTAATGTCCAATTTATGTAATAACTCTGATTTTCAATTAAAAAAACAAAACTTTAATTAGTCTTACAGCAATTTCAGGATTGCGAATTCCCATCTGACTGTTGTGATCTTAATTTAACTCTCATTTGCAGTTTCTTTAATTTATTACAATTGTTAAAAGCAATTTATGTGATGTAAAAATAAACATTTTTTTGTGATTATTTTTGAGGCCGACGTTAGATGTTTGCATTTTATTATGCAAAATACTGATATACTAGCGCTCAAAGTTTAACACTTTGAATGAGATAATTTAAAAAATTAATTTACGGTAGTATAAATAAAGTAAATAAAAAACTATTTGTTGATCATTTAAAGAATATAGTAAGAACTTTTTTTTCCAAGAGGCCTTTACAAGATAAAAAGTTTAAGGGCCACTGGGGTTAACACGCCACTGCGTGTTAGCCCCAGTGGGCCTTAAACTTTTTATCTTGTAAAGGCCTCTTGTAAGTACAAAAAAAAAGTGCAGTACAAAAAAACCAGACTACCATTTTTGGTTTGTAGAAACAAAAACAACAGTTTGATTGGTTTAACAAAACTGAATAAAAAAAAAAAACTGAATAAAAGAGCTAAATAAAACTGAATAAAAGAGAAACCTATCTTATAATGATTAGATAAAAATCATTTTTGTAACAAAATTCACATGAATAATAGAAGAGAATGTTCTTTAGTTTTTGTAATTTTAACTTTATCCGCATTTAATTTCTTTTTTAAAATTTAAGCCTCAACATAAGAAGTAGTTTGGTTTTGTTAAAAAATTCATAATTTTTTTATCTGACAATGATATAATATTTTTTATCAAAAGCTCGAGCCTGTTACATTTTTATTAAGTCTATTTCTAAATAAATTTTATCTCTTTGCAAATCTTTCCTACAAATACGGTTGATTGGAAGAAAATTGAATTAGCATAAAAGAAAAACAACATTTCAATACCACGATAACCAGTAATAAGCGCCAATAAGACTATAATGAACTAAATAACAATTATATGGTGGCTATTTAAACAATAGTGTTTACTAAATATTTTTTGTTATTGAACAAAATTTTTGTATAAATGGAGTTTTGTTGTTGTTGTTTTTCAGATACAAAAATATAAAAAATATAAGTGATACATAGTAAATGTAAAAAACGGTTAAGATCTTAAAAATATAAGTTATAATACATATTCTGTATTGTTTGTGATTGCCATTCGATCATAATTTGTAGCAGAGGGTAGTTTCTTCAACATGGAAGAATGGTAAAAAGAAAAAATCAAATAACCAAATGGAAGATCAGTTAACCGTTCAAAATGAAGTATCTGTATTGAACATGAAGAAAATAATTTTAAAGTCTTTTTTTATGCAAACTAAACATCAAAATATTCAGCAACTTGGAGACAATGAACCCACTTGTAAAAACGAGTTACATGAATTAAATAATCAATTAATAAAGACTCAAAACGATGCTCTTGAGATAATGGTTGAATTATCAAAGAAATACGAACTTCTGGAATCAAAAGAAAGTGTAGGTTAACTCAATTAAAAAATTGAAAAACTAAACAATGAATTTGCGGAAATTTTGGAAAATATAAATGAATGGATATTGCACAATAGAAGTTTAATATTAAGTTTAAAACAACAAACGGCGGAAAAAGAACTTAAAATGGAAACAAAAAAGCAATATTATCAATGGTTAAGTACTCAAAAAAGTAATGACCAGCATGAAGATAATAAAGAAGAAAATGGCAGAAGCAAAATTGAACCAATCAAATTAACGTATATTATGCGTAAAATGGAAAATGAAATAATTGATTTAGATCAAAAGACTGCAAAAATTGGACATGATTTATGGAAACAACTAAAACATATCTCTATACAAATGTTTAATGGTGATAAAAAGAACTATGAAAATTAAAAAGCTTCATTTTACGCATTTATTGATCAAGCCCCAGCAACAGCTGAGTATAAATTACTTCATTTAAGTCAATATTTATGTGGAGACCCATTAAAAACAACTGAAGGACTTGGGTATTCGTCATTCACTTATGAAGCTGCGAAAGAAAGACTTGAAAGAAAATATCGTGGAACAAGGAGAAAAGTCTTTGGACTTACCTATTTGGATAAGTTGAACATTTTTAAACCTATGAGGGAAAATAATCCAAGAGACCTTAAAAAGTTTGCGGATTTGTTAGATAACAAACATAAACAAACACAAAACAGAAACAAACATAAAAAAAGCAAATACGACAGAAGAACTTGGGACATATTGGGCAATGGGATATTGTATCATCAACTGCAAAAAAAAAATTCCAGAGATAATGTTAACTAGATACAAATGATGGGTGTATACAAACAGATTAAACGAAAATGTTGAAACTCTAAAAATGTTTATTGTTAAAGAAGCAGATTTTTAAATTGCAGCAACAGAAACTTTACATGGTTTAAAAAAAACAATTGGTAGCAAAGCACACGAAAGAAATTCTTACTTTGGTAACAGTGATGAAAAAAAGAAAATAATTTGGATACAGAAATATCTTTGGATATTTGGATACAAAAATATTTTGAAATGTTGAACATTCCCATAAAATATGGGAATGTCCAACATTTCAAAATCAAAATTTTAAAGAAAGATGGGAAACAGATAATAAAAATAAACTCTGCTTCCGATATTTGAATTCTAACCATTTGTCAAAAGAATGCAAGAACACAAGAATATGTGGGATTGACGGCTGTACAGATACCCATAATTGTTTGCTTCACAGGAAAAGACATCAAAACAAAACATTTTCTGAAGACTTCAAAGAAAAAAACAATAATAGAATATTCACACATCTCTTTTTTGGTTGAATTAAAAACCCAGCTATGAATAATGATCTTGCGCATGACTCAATCTTGACAAATATTTTATCTTTATAAAGATGGAGAAACAAAAATTGCAGTGGAAGCTTTTACAGTTAATAATGTAACTGGAAACTTAAAAGCAGTTAATTGGGCAAATTTGTCAAAAAGTTGGAAACATTTAAGAAAAATTGAATTCCCAAATATTGGAACAAATCCAAAAATTGACATCCTAATCGGTGTGGATTATGCTGAGCTGTACTGTGCAATTAAGGAAGTAAAAGGAGGATTTAATGAACCAGTGGCTCGACTCATGCTGCTTGGATAGACATGTATTGGCGGTACCAGTGGATCTCTTCAAACCCATTTTACAAAAATAACATCTAGTACAAAGGAAATAGAAGATGCAAACAAAACTATTAAAAAGTTATAGGAAATTGAAGGCGACGAAGAGATGCAATTTGGAAAAACAATAATAAGCCCAGAAGACTTTACCGCCCTTAAAATAGTAACTAATTCGCTAAAAACAGAGAATGAAAGATATGACCTAAAATTAAACAGACTATAAAACACAGAAAAACGCCTAATGAAAAACAAAAGTCTGGGAGAAGAGTACAATAATATTATTAAGCAGTATCAAGAGAAGGGATACTTGGAGAAAA